TGGAAATCCTGTTGAGAGTACGAGTCATGACTGCAGGTACAGTCGTACGGATTTTAGATTAATTACTGATACAGTCAATTTTCGCTTTTTTCACAGCCACACATCTTAGCGACCAACCGCCCGCTAAGATATACACTCTATTTTATCATTACAGCGTATTCTCACCGTGCTCGTCTCATTACGCTCACTCGCCACCGTTCCCTCCTCAATCCCGGTCCACTGCTCAATAAATCCTTGGTTTAAACAAATCAGTGGTCGGGTCACGTTGAGAATAGAACGCAAATTCGATGAAAGCTAGAGAGTTGGAGACTCTGAGATACTTGTGATTAAATTCTTCCGAACGCAATCATGTTCATGCTTAGTACTTGGGGAGAAGAAAGAGATTGATGACCTCTCATCTGATGTTGAGTATCCCGGCCCGGTGTCCTTAGCCGAGGATGACATGCTTAAAGTCGGCAAGGTTGATGTGAACAGGCACAGATGCTGGCGAGTAACTCCATCACTAAGACATTCATTGCCCATTTGTCGCTCGATCAAAGAGAAGTTCATCATGAAACACATAGAGATAACCTACATTATTATAACCCTTATAGAATTAGCGCGAGATCCATAAGGTATCGATGGAAATTTTACCTCATATTCGCTACGCGAGTTTAGTAGAACCATTATATTATAGGAACACATCGTATGGAAGTACATCTTTCTTAGGACGCAAAAGCAAGGCAGGCCCCACATCACGAGGAACATACAACCAAGGCCAAAATATCAATTTGTAGCCGCCGAGACGAAGAAAACACCGGTAAGAGTGAAAGGAGCACCTATGATCTCGTCATTTGACTCTCTTCCGGCACAATGCAAGCGAGATCCGTTCATTATGAATGTGGGAAAGAGGCATGTCTGGAGAAGAACTCGTCTTCGGGGTACAACTCGGACTGGGGATATGCGTCATGTGGACATCATAGAGTTTCTGCATATCTTTTAGAATATCACGTCGATAAGGAGTGGTGAGAGAAGGATAGACGTTGACACTCACGGCACAGAAAAACAGAGCAACATAACGGACAAGTCACAGAGAACCGAACGCAAGGAGGACTCTCGCCACTGTTCGGAAGAAGCAGTAAAGCGCTGGACAACCAGACTGGATTCCGGAGTGCAAGGTGTATGACAGCAGTAACTCTTTCAAATCATCCTTTCATTTCGTTGAATCAGCCGCCATCTGATATTCCTCCTGCTCTCAACTGTAACTGCGGGGGAGGGATTGAAGTAGATGAATCAATGGGTTCGATCGGAGGCAGTTACCGTCAATATACCCACCGGTCTAGCGTCCTCAGCGAAAGTGGCCTCGTGCAATCGATGGTGTGTTGTTCGTTTGCAAAGGTGAGTTGACCGTATGTTTATACACAAGGACAGGTGGGGTCCTCCCATGACCTCGTCTCCTGGTTCATGCGTTGTACACTTTTTTATTACGGTACGCACCAGATGAGCAAGCCCGTCGCCACTGGGAGGTATCTCGGATCGCACTACAGTCCCTGCGTGACGGACAGATCATCGATCTGGGTTTTTCTCGTCTGAAAAATGCATCCTGCATGATAACCTTTGGCAAAGATCAAGTTTTATTGACCTCAAAGAGTCAAAATTCAAGCTCAAGAACGATTCTTTGATCCGAAAAGTCTGTTAAAATGGTCGACTGGAGAGTCTAAACCCAAGGAAAGAAGGCAAGTCAAATATCATTATGGGTGAAGCATGATTTTAAAAATATCAAACGTAATGATTACAATCCAATACCACAAAAATATTAAAAGCGACCCAAAGTTAAGACGAGTTGAACGCAACTGTGACACATCCTTCACATTTGCGAGCTCGCTTCTGCTCGCTTGCGTGGTTCAAAAAAAAGGTAAGATTTCGATGTGATGGGGGGGGGGGGGGGGAGGTCTTTCTAAAACCAATAGCATTCAATGCCCTTCCCCAAGTCACAACAAGCAACAGCAACCTGCCGATACAAGTCCGAAAAAGTCAAGTAAATGTTTCATATAAAACACGGTTTCTGAAATGGAATGGCCTCCGCTGGAGCTGGTACATTTTCCCCCCCGGCAAACAAACTCGACGTGACATTTCAATGGCCAAAAAAAAATGAGTTTACAAAAAAACGGAATGAAAGAGGCGCTACCCGCGGTCAGAATAAGCTAGCTGATTCGGTATGAAAAAGCAGCGCTAAATTAGAAGCCATTGAAAGGGGCACAACATTTTCCGGCTCGAACAACGCAGCTCGTCAAATGGTGTGTTCTATCAGAACCGAGAAAGCATCCTTCGCTCGGGACAGAAACGCCGGTGGTTATTAGATACGAGTGAAGCTGAAGATGAGAACCCATGACTTGCACCCAAGACAACACGCTGAACGAGTTTTGAGTTCACCAGCAGATATCCATAAGGAAGCACATTCACTTGGGCAAGAATACAGACGGGTGTAGGTATTGATACGAGAAGGGTAGGATCAGAGTATCCTCAAAGGAAGCGGTGTACTCTTCCTGTAAACACTGCTATAACTGCGGGAAATAAGAAGGGCTATCCTGGGAAGCTAATGCTGTGCATATTCATTGACTCATAGCGGGTTTTATAGCTGATGATGTAGGGTATCAAGAGAACGTACCGCATCGTGAGCTGTAAGGATTACACATAGCGTCAACCAACTCGGGGGTGAGTGCCCGAGTCGCGGGAGTAGACACGAAATGAAGGACCACAACGAGACGAAAGATAACAAGAGAATCGGGTTCAAGGGAGCATAGATGGGCGTCTGGGAGGTTATGATGAAGACCATTAGACGCGCGTTACGAGCATTCGGGCTCGGACGGCGACGTATGATGGAATGGAATAACACAACGATATGAACGGAACCTTTGGAGGACTCGCAATCTTTGGTTGCCGTAGACGTACGACTTTTACTGGAATATGGCTGAAGATGGAATGAGATGAGGCTATTCTAAAGGGGTTTCAAGAAATGAGTATGAACCTCATCAAGCGTTGATGCGTCATCGGATTCCGGTCTCGGACTCGGATGCATGTCAGAGTGAGTTGAGATAATAAATCGAGTCGCGAGGGATTAGAATGAGCCGTCGGGGGTCGTAAAGAAACGAGCGAGATTAATTAATGGAAGAAAGGACCTACAAGCGCCTGTTACCCCCAGGGTCAGGAGACGATTAGACTCTGATAATGAGTATAAGACGGCGATCTAGAATTGTATATCGGCGGAGACCCATTTTGTTGTGACGAGATAGAAAAGCCCGTTGGTGAGATCTGGAATGCTTTCGTAAACCGCGTCGGATGGAATCATCGCATGTGACACCGGCTCCGGAGAGAGAAGCGGAGTCTTAATCTAATCAGACAGGCACGTGCTGTGTAGATGAGTTACAGCCGAGATCGCATTTTGTAGCGAACCGCCATGGGCCTCAAGGCAATGGTTTCCACGCAACTTTGACTCCCCGCTTTTGATATATATATATATTCTTACCTCTTCCTACTAGACTTATCTTTATTGTTCCCCCTTCCTTACACACTCTTTTCTTTGCAACCATGACGGAATACGACTACTCGCCAGAAGCAGTAGAGCGTTACCAAGCGACCATGCGGCGCATCTCACGCTGGGTCGACGATGCGGATGCTCATGCTCGCGAGTTCAAGTCACCCTTTGAGCCACGGTCGGATGCTGGAGATGAGGATGTTTCAAGACCCGTAATCACCCGAGGTATCAGCCAACGAGTCCCTCCTCCTCCGCTATACGCCACAGTTCCCGGACCCATGCCCCCACACAGTCGTGGTCCTGCACCTCCACCTGCACCTCCACCTCATCACCAGCAAGCAGTACCATTACACGGCCCAGCACCTCCACCGTCACGGTCACGTCATTCTCATTCAAATTCAAAACACCGTTCTAACCCGACTTTCTACGTCTCGCCCTCCCCTACTCCTCCTGCGCCTTATTACCCAGGTCCATATTACTCATCATCGTATCCTAATCCACCACTACCACCACCACCACCACCACCACCGCAGTATTACTCCGGCAGCAGCGGCAATGCAGCCTACGCCCCGCCACCAGGAGGATACGTGTTCGTCCCTCCAAAACGCCGTTCATCAAAAGTCATGGTCAGTCCTAAACCGTCCTCCTATTTCCATACCCTAAACCTTCCCCAGCAGCCCTCTGTCCAACCCGTCGTGTTTTCCACTTCTTCGTCCACAGATTCCGAGCCTCATCCCCCTCAGCAGAGCTCGTTCCTCCACAAGTTCTTTCCCTTTGCCCAACCTCATCGTGATACCGCCGCCGGATATGATTCTCAGCGACAACACCGGCCCCATCGTCATCACCACCATCACCACCGTCATCGCCATAGTTCATAACCTCCGTTTTCTTTATCATAGAACATTCGTATAGTAATATCTTATTGGTAATGCGAACTGACTGTATTAATAAATAATTTGGGCACATAGTTATGGTAACCCTTTTTCCGCCGATGTATAAACAAAGGATGCTATTTATTGGTATAGAATCACACGCCCGTAGTTGTTCAGATCCGTACTAAATGAGGTTCGTCAGGTAAGCGGGGGTACACGTACAAATTTGGATGAGAATAATTAAATTGACCGGCCAATGGATGTGAAGAGTCCAAAATAGCTCAAAGTCATCCTCGGTCAACAAGCCGAACCTTCTAACGTTGTTTCTTACCCTCCCCCGTAGTGATAAGCAGTGTCGAGGAGATGTTATACTCTCCCTAGTCCAAGTACTACACTCGACCTAGAACTAACACCCCGATGAATGGGATCATTCGGAGGGGAATGGATTATGACATCCGGATGGCTGCGAGCAGGGTAAAGAAAGGTGCTACGCGCAATCAAGAAGATTTATATGCAAAAGTAACTTGGTCCGAACAAGGTAGACGCGACGCGTTGACGCCGTGGTTCCCTGAATAATAACCCTATTGATGCATCTTTAATCACAATTGCTTATCGGCCGACTAGCTCAGCTGGTTAGAGCGTCGTGCTAATAATCGCAAGTTATTAACGCGAAGGTCTTGGGTTCGATCCCCACGTTGGCCATCGCCCATTCATCGGAGCTATTTTTCGCACCGATGAATTCGGTTGGGATCGCTCCCGGTTGATAGCCAGTTCTTTTCCACTAATGCAATGATTGGAATACAAGCTACAAGTCGATTTGACAGTTCAACCCGCTCGTACTCTTGAGTACAGCACCGTTTGCTCCTATGACTACTTCATTTAAATATGTCTGTAATTTTGTCCATTCGTCATATTTGTGCTCAAGTGGCCCGCTATACCAGGAAACATGAAAAATTCATACGTGGCTATCTGATGAATAGGATGAGATGGAAACGACCGCACCTGAACTGAAGGTGAACCATTTGCACTGAATGGTTCGATATTCAGAGGGGGAATTTATCGGCTGACTAGCCAAGTAGGCTAGGTGTTGTATAACATGGGTTCGAACCCCCCCCCCCCCCCAGTCGGCTATATCGCAACTGCAATTCTGCATCTGGATATTTTTGCCCAAGGCTTCTAGGTTTCAACAAGCACATCACAGTGTCGAGTCTGAAAAGTAGAACAACATGAGTGGGTAGAAGGCTCAAACGAGAGTGATCATCCCTCCACGTCAGATGGTAGCTTTTGGAGGAGAGGCGATCTGCTTTATCAGTTTCCGAACGTGTCGGAGAACCTGTGTAGATGTTAATGCATGATCTCTGGGGTTGGGCTCCTATAAGCTCCGTAATGGTATGTATAACTTTTATTTAGCTTGCAACTGACAATATCATAACGAACTTGCTGCTCACATACAGTCAAATGCCAGGTAGCCCACCTCGACGAAATGCGCTCCAGAACGTGTGGTAAGCTCACCACCAGTTCGACATCATTGATCCCAAAGTCAAGGGTCGGTCGCCATCTGTAAATAAGTATTCGCGACTGACCTTCATCCTCCTCCTCCTAAAGGTTGTTGCACGTGACCGAGTCTCTCACTTGGTTGTTCGGCTTTAAAGTTGCATGGGTTCGATCCCCAGGTTGATCACATAGAAATATAGGTAAAAGTACATTGTCTTTCATCCGGCTTCTCGATGTTCAATCTTGGCTGGCTCTTCCGATTTCTATAGGCATTCACATCTGGAAAATATTGCTGATGTGAAGACACGGTGCCGGACAAGTATGCATGGTTCGGATTCTGAAGGAAGGGTCTAGTTCTTCCACTATGGAGGAGGGCAGCTTTATCATTTTGCGCATCGCGTGTGAATTGCCACTCAGCCGACCAGCTCAGTAGGTTAAACTTGGATGTCTTAAAACGGGTTTGAACACCCCCTCCCCCAGTTTGCCGTGCTGCAAAGGGGATTCTCCATCTCGACCCTTTGACCGGCGCTTCAGCTTCTTTTTTTTTTTTCTTACCAAACGCATATCAGTGGTGACCGTCGAGGACTGACATGCCAAGACAACAAATCTCCAGGTCACAGGAAGACGTACCATTCCTTGCCCGCAACATCAAGTAGACTTGTGTGCCGTTCGCGGTATCACCCATCGAGATGGAGTCGTGGACGATGAAAAATCCTCTTTTCCACTACCATCTACTTCACGGACAGTGAGCTCTCCCTATACCGTATTTGCACATATCCCGGTTGGTTAAGTCTTGCTTGAGGCCGAGGTAATTGAGCTACGATATTCCACTTCTTCTGACATGTTTAAATTTTAGATACTTCTACTTATCTTTCCCTATTATTTATAGGCTCTGGCGACGCGAGAGTACGCGTGCGGCTACCCCTCTTTTGCCGTTTTTATCCGATTGACATAAAATTTGATTTTTTTTTTTTTTTTTTTTTTTTTTTTTTTTTTTTTTTTTTTACCTTTCTTACCTTCTCACCACGAGCGACGAGCCTTCTCCTTTGAGCCAAGTAAGTGGTCCAATTACTACCTGTACTGATTCTTCTTCTAGATACATTTGAACTACTAATTAATAACCACTCTTTCCGTCCACACCCGGCCGAGCAGCAAGCAATTCACGACCTCGCGTAACCGTCTACATCCGCATCGACATATACTGCGACATCGGGAGAGAAATAGATCACGAAGCTTTGCCAATGAGAACACTGGATTGATATTCAGCTGACTAGCCCAGCTGGTCAGTTCTTAACTTGATGTTCGATCCCTTTGAGATCACATGAAAGTTTGGTTTATTTTATTTTCCGCTTTGTTCACCAAGTGCCATAATACCGCACGATCTTACTGACACTCACCTGGGAGGGTACCTGTCGTTCCTTCCCCAAGTTCTCCGGGCACTCAACTCCTCCCAAAGATGCATCTTACAAGACGCTGTATCTCAAAGTCGATGTCTACAAACATGTATAAAGGGCAGATGTGGGGCCTATCAGTCGGTTTGTTAGCGCGTCGTGCTGACATAACCAGGACGTATTGGTTCGATCCCCACGATAGCCATGATGTCGCTTTCATTTGGACTTTTACCACGGCTTCTCTGTGAGATCGGTTTTGTGTAATGTTTTACAAGCCCATACAAGGCGACTCATGAAGTGCCGTTCGGTGACCCGATCCCAAGGAAGATATATCTCTCCCTTCCCGGGACATAAGTTGAAATCCATATTTAACTGGATAAATACGACTGTACACTCGTGGGTAAAATGATATATATCAGATAATCCTCCTGGACTTAATGTCCACAGAAGGAGAGAAAAAAATAAGAATAGTCAGAACATAAGGATAAGTTATTCACAGCTGATCGGAGGTGAGGTTCCCATAAATCGGACAGAGTTGATCCCAGGCAGCTGCGAAAAGAAATTTCAGCACCTCGTCAATGTGAGATAATCAAAAAAAGGGGTTCGTACCAGGTGTATCTTGCTTCTGGATGGTGTCCACATCTTCAGCGAAAACGACGGCGAGACCGCTAAGGGAAGCGAAATCAATCAACGACATAAATGAGAGTAAAGAGAGCCCACATCTCTAGATGCCAATCAATATGGCTGATGCAGTACCGTTAGCATTTGTGTATCTTTCAGTGCGAGGTAGGATTTACCAGTGCAAGAACCAGGGTCCGGCATTGTCGCTTGTGAAGCGGATAGTAACATTGTCAGTGGCAGAACCTGTGGAGACGACGTCGCGTCGGACCTTGGGGAATGTAATTGGTCGTCGCATACGACAGAAGGAAGTGACGAAGACTGACTGGGTTTGCATAGTTGTACTCAGTGCTCCCTGCACTTCGTACGACATCAAAGGTGTGCTAAAAAAAACCGGGGTTCATTTGCCAGGTTTACAGACAAGTAGAGAAGTAACTTACACCGTGAAGATGGAAGGGGTGCTAGAGCAGCATGTCAGCTTGGGAGTGCATCATGAAACAGCAATCAGATTACTTACAGGACCGCCAACCGCCAACCCCGGAATGCTTATCTCAATGACCTTATTCGGCGGGAGAGTATACACGCTCCCAGAGGGAAGCAAGTTCTGCGCTGAGTTTGCCCCACTCAAGATCTGCAAAAGCACCGGTGCGGTGGGCGGGATGAAGGATGCACCATTGACTGTAAAACGAAAGGTACTGATATCAAACGCGAGGGCTAGGTTCAGCGAGACGTCTGCTCCGCCAGCTTGGGGCAACCCAGGCGCACCGGGATTCTCGAGTGGGTGGAGATTCGTCTCGAGGAGTGGTATGACGCTCGTCGTCTGGTTACTCGTTGGGTCCACCCCAGAAGGCGCCCCGACGTAATGCACCACTCCCGAGTTGATCCCACTCCCGAACCCCTGCGTCCCGAGGTTGGGGCTGGCGCGAATCCAGTAGTTCCCGACCCTTTGATTCGCGTTGAGGATGACGGAGTATCGCTGCCCGGCGAAGATCTGGAGAGAGTCGACGAGGAGGGGCTGGGTGTTGACGCCGTCGGTTTCGATGATGGTGAGATTGTGAGAGTCGATGGAGAATACCCAGTTGGGGTCGCATGAGATGGCTACGAGGCGGAGGCGGTAGCGTACTCCGCGGACGACGTTGAGTTGGAAGAGATCCGAGGCGGGCTGGGTTGGATGGTTAGGAAGGAGGTGGGTGTGAGAACGAGATGAGAGGTAACTTACGCCTCCTGCGTAACGTCCTTTACCTATTTTGAAATTAGGAAATTAGGGTTGAATGATGGATGTGTTCTGACGTACCGTTGATCAGGGTAGCATCGAAAACGGGTACTGGCCCTGCTGCGAGGGCCGGTGTGTGGTACCTAGATATGTTTCATCATGAGACTGTCGTTCGAGAGTCGGAAAGAAGTATTCACCAATCTGAGAGCGTGATCACCGTTGCCTCTGAGAAGTGTGTGTGAGCATGAAGATGCGGCAGATCGGAAGGGGAAAATCTCAAACCGGTATCAACATCGTAACGAAATCGGTGAGGATCATTGGGGTCGTAAACGACCATAGGTCCCCGTAGACCATCACAATATTGCGTGGCTGAGAACGTTGCGTCACCATTCCGAGATACGAAGACGAAAGGGAGGGGCGCGTACAGAGATGAGAGTGATACCAAAAGGTTCCCGCCTGATCGGGAACATTGAAGTCGTATAGGAACGAGTGGTTCTACGACACGATCAGTGTCTGAAGAGTAGAAATGAGGGATTGCACTCACGGCAGCGATAGGGCACTGGTTAACAAAACCTGGGCTATGGTCGTGAGAGCAATGAGATACGACGCGCTAAACATGTATATTATATACCAACCCATCAGCCCAGGAGGATCCCCTCTGAAATAGACCATGCCAGTGCTATTATTACGGTCGTCAGAGGAGCCTAGAGAGCACATCAAATCAGAGACAGCTTACGATACTAGTGCTTCTCAACATCGTATTGTCCGTCAATCTATCAATGACATTCAGCCTGAATCGGTCGCCCTAGAAGAAAAAAAAATGGAATGAAAACAGAACGAATTTGTATAGAGAGGGTATATACCTTATTTCCTTTGACGAGCGGGCCCGGGAAGGTCCCGCCAGCGAGAACGGCGCTGAATTGGGGGGTTATCAAGAAGGTAAGAGTGGAGTACGAGTGGCGCGTACGCTCTGGTGAAACCGTCAG